GTGATGAATTCCAATTATTTACTGCTAATATAAAAATGCTTAACTTCTTCTTGCAGAAAATTGTCCCACAGAGGTAGTCCTAACAGTGCATTAAGGCATTCTTGATCCTAGGTAGGGTTTCCAAAAAGTGGTGTTTGTGGTGGTAGTGGCAGAGGGGGAAGCATCCAGCTGCTGAATCATTCCACAACATTTTCCCAAAAGAAGAATTTCCTGCTTGAATAGTAATAAATAGAGAAAAACTCTTTGTCATTGGCTAATGACTCCTGACTTCCACACAAGTTCTGAGTTTACTAAGTTGGAGTTTTTTGAGAATAACTGTTCAGTGTTTATTTTCAAAGACTGAGATATTTATCCTTAGACAACATCTCATTGCAGTGGCTTTATTTCTGTTAGAGCAAATGACAAATGGAGGTGCAATCATTTTGTCAGCTTAAGCTGAGAGGAAGGAAATAACACAATAGGCAACTGATGGAGAAGTGTGTTTTGACTGACTGGTGGAGCACACTACAATAGAGCTAATCAGGAAACAGGGTCCCTGTATAAACACAGCCTCACAAAATTGCATTTTTATGAATGAGTTGCTTCATGTGGTTTCCTACTACTTTTCACCTTGTGTGGTAATTTTCTGCTGTGCCAAGAAAATGAAAAGCAATGATTCTGATCTGGGAGCAGGACTTGCTGGTGATAGTGTGTTGGAGGTTTGGTCCACAGAGTCCAGGTGAAAACCCTTGGCTTTTCAAACAAGCTTTTAACTCTTCAAGTGAACAGCTCGTTCCCTGTCAGCCAAACTACAGCTGTCACATTTACATTTACATCTGCACAATTAGCTCTCACATTTGCTTCATTGTAAGCAGCAACATGGAAGATAAAGCAGTAGCAGGTCAGGCCTGAAGCATTTTACTGCCAGCCGCTGAGAAATCTCTTGGCACAAGCTGGGGTTTCAGGTGAGACAGAGGGAGATAGGGATGTATCTTTTCAAAAGGTACAATGGTAAGCGTCTCTTAGCAGTGTGTGCCCTCTGGTTATTACATTGATTGAGTTTTGCATGCAGTTAGTTCCATCGTCATCTATGGTGTGCTGGTTGCAGCGTCACTGCCAAGATTTGTCTTTGCCAAAGTAGATCTAAGCCGTGTCTGGAAGCATATGTATTTGAACTGGGAGTGAGCAAAAGCTTAACTTTGGGTAGGAGCTAGTTTCAGATTAAGGCTTTGGCATGCAGTTATTTGCCCCAGAGGGTGCTATTCAAACAGATCTGTTCTGCTGTCAAAAGGTTAGCCAGATCTTGAATGAATGATACTAGAGGCTCTGTGTTAATTAATGGTGGTAAAATGCCAGACCCTTTGATTGAAGGAAGTAGGTTGGCAAGCAATTGTGTCATAGAAGCTTTGAATCAATTTTGTTAGATTCCCTGCATTCTGTTTCATATTTAGATAATTTTTCCTTTCATCATTGCAAATTACATGAGCAAATGTCCAGGAGGTACATCAATGGCAAAATTACAGAACAGCAAATGTACTTTGGGTGCTTATCACAAGAAGAGGGAAGTCATTACCCACCACAAGGAAGAAAGAAGGAAGCTGTTCCCCAGCATTTGACCAGTTCCTAGCCACATGGGAGTTCATTTTAGCTCCCTTCTAAGAATTATCTGGTCTGGAAAACACTCCAACTGTGCTGAGCTACAAGAGAGGCCCTTCAAATCATAAGCAGCTGGATTTCAGTGCATGACCCTGGTGCTGACTGGCTTCACACAGTTCAGAGCCAGGAGCACAGGTGATGCCTGTTGGCTTGGGCCATGTCCTTTTGCATGGAATAGGGGAAGGGGATCTGTGCTCAATTCAGAAGTTGAATTTAGCTGAGCCACTCAAATTATGCAGTTAACAGACTTGAGTTCATTGTAGCAACAGTATGGGCTCTCTGTCACAGTGGATGCTGTAAAAGTCTGCCTGGAGTGGAGTGGGGTGGGTACTGTGAAGCTGCTGTCAAGGGAAGGTAGGAAATAGTGTGGGTAAATAGAGCTGTGTCAAATAATAAACTGTGGAGGAGTTGGGGCTTACTGAGAAGCCTGGTCGTTTTTCTACCTGGTTATCACTGCTTTTCCCTAAGTAATAATATCCTAAGGCTGTTTGTTTTCAACTGCTTTGTACTTTTTCAAGAGAACTCATTAGTGTGTCTGAATATGGAATGACAGATTTTTGGAACAGTAGGGCTGTGGTGGGGGAAAAAAATGAGCCTCAAGGCTCTGAGGCTTCACTGGCACATAAAAGCAGGAGCCACTCCTTTAAGGCAGTTTTCTCCTTTAGCTGGTCCTGTGGGTAGCTAAATGTTGACCTGTGCAGCACACCGTGCTCTGCTTTATCTGACAAAGATCGCTGTGTAACTGGAGAGACCAAATCTTTTACAGGTCTCTTCTCTGCTTTTCGACAGCATGCTCTTTGTGACTATGACAAAGAGAGAATAAAAGCATCATATATGCTGGGAAAGAAAATGCACCTGTATGAGCAGCTGCAGAGGATGACATCAGAGTATTGATTTGTACAAAAGTCTTATGGACAAATGGAGTGACAAGTGTTGTTAAAATCACGGGAATGTGATTATTGTTCTAAAGTTTGTGTTACTTTTGAATGGGGTGAATATAAGCATAGGAGGAAAGAGCACTTTAGACAGTTCCTGAGCAATCTGGCTGCTAAACAGCCTCTGGCCATGTTCACCAGTCTCTTTTGGGAGGCACATGCATTGCCAGGTGCCTCTGGGTAAAGAAATGTCTTTCCAGCTTGTCTTCCAACACCTGTGACTTCCAGCCATGGGAATCTCCTGGGACAAGGTACAGAAGCCTTCCCTCAGTCTCAGTTCTGTGCTGTATCTGTCTGATAGCACTTCCATAATCAAACCCAGCCAAGGCGGTCCCAGCCTGGTCACAGGATGAAATCCTGGAATGACGAGGAAAGGCAAAGCAACCCCTTAGGCTGCTGCACTGTCAGAGCCAGTACCTTCCAAAGCTGGCTCTGTCAAGGTGGCTGCAGGAATGGCTGCCTTGGGAAGCTGATGTTCCTTGTTCTAGTGGCTTCACCATGTATGTGTTACTGCTCAGAGCAGCCCTGGGACGTGCCACATTCCACAGCATTTGGAAAGGCAAAAAAACCCCATAGACAGCTGTATCCCAGCTCTTCCCTTGACAATTCATGAGGTAGATTCAGCTTCATAGCAGAATTACTGCCCCTTTGATAATAGGAAGAGGATTTACAGTACATTTAGTTGTTTTAATTTCATGTAGCTTTGTGGGAGGTCAAGTAAGAGTTTATACTGTTAGCTTTGTTAAATACATGTTGATACAGTAACAGCACTATTTGTTCTTTCCCTGAGCAAGTCTGGAAATCAGTGCCCACATTTCTGTAAACTGTTCCTAGAATTAAGAAAACTTCTTGTAGAGGAATGGGAGTTTGATAAAGGTTGGTTTTTTTACTTTTGTCAAGTAAAGAGATCATATAAGCCTAGAGCCTCTTGTAGTTGAAAATACCTTGTATTGCCTTTCCATTTAAGAAGGACCAGAAGTGAATTTTGTAAGGTAAATAAGTAATCTGATGTCTGACCTCTAAAATAAGAATAGCCTTTGTTTTCAGTAAACATATCTGACATTGAGGAGCCAGCAGGTTGTTGCCTTCTCGTCTCAAAATCTCTTTGGGCCATTTTAGTTCCTATGCAAAGAGCTCTTGACTGGCTGCCAGTTTATTATGGTGGTCACTCTCCAAGAAGATTATGGCAGAACATAACCACTTAAAATGTGACATGCAGGAGCACATTTAGAAAATTTCAAAATGCTGCAAGTAAAACTGAGGGAAACAGAAGGAAGCCCTCGTCAGATTGGGTTACAAAGGGTGTAGGTGGGAATGGGATATGAAAAGAATATTAAGAAAGGAAAGCCTGAGCACACTGGCACATCATGGATGAAGCTGCTCCAGCAACTTTTCTCTGTGTTCTACAATGAGCAGAGTACAATTTAGCACCAAGAAATAAAGAAAAGCATAAAGGTAGCAAGAAAAGCCTGAAAAATTGAAGAAAAAGCTAAGGAAAAAACCTGTTTAAATATACCAGAAATTGAAACTCTGAGGCCATTGTGGATGTGAAATTGTTTTGTAGGTTGGCAATTGTTGTTTATTTTACAAACTCGGGTCAAATAACTTCAGGTGATGAGTTTAAGCAGGAAAAGTTTGAAGATAATTTTGAAATGTTTATTTTCATGTGGTGCAAGATGCTGTACTTAATTAAAAACACTTCTCCCCATTTTCAGGAATACACAGTCATTTATTTCAAGCTAAGCCACGTTTACAAAACCTATTTGCACAGTCTGGCCCTAAGTTTTTAACAGGGCTGTGAAGCCTGTGCCTGTAGCTATGCTTTTTAATAGCTGTGCTATCTGCTTGCTGGAGCATCCCCTGGCAGGACAGGTCTGGAGTGTTGTTTTCTGCTCTCACATGGGGATATTTTTACACAGCAGGAGGCAGAGTACCTGGTAAGGCTTTGAGAAGAGGGTCTGGGTACCCCAGCTGGGGTGGGAGTCTAAGCTACTGTGGAGCTGCTGGGGTCCTTCAAGCACAATTATGTGCAAGTTTCCTATGTATTATTTTGGCATAAAGACATGTTGGGACTGGTCACACTGAGATAGATTTGTCTGGCACTTCAAATTCATTGTGTTAACTTTGCAATGTGAGCATCTAAACTGCTTGTTCTACTTATTACATGTAAGTTAAAAGTGAGAAATTGAGTTTGTTTTGGTGCTTTGTGCTAAAAATGTAATTTGTGAAACAAGTAATTTCTATTGAATCAGGGGATCACCATGGCCACAAGGTAGGTGGTAAGATATCAGCTGTGTAACAGATATAGTATGTAATAAATGTTTACATGCCATCAAGTATACAAACATTTGAATGCTTACATGACAGAGCTTTTCTTTTGCAGTCATTGGTCTCAATTTTTCCATTACATTTTCTCATTTTCTTTTCTAGCTTTGCTCACAGACAAACCTCCAAAGCCATTGTTCCCCATGGAGAACCAGCCAACTGTTATAGATGTCCAGCTGGGTAAGTCCCCTTCTGGGAATAATAGATCCTAAACTTCCACTCTGGTAGCAGATGGGATAAATTGAAAGTGATAAGAAAGGTTTAGTGGTAGTTATTACATGCAAATCAATTTGCAGCTTCTCATTTATAACCATAGAATTCACTGCCACGGCAATTTAAGGGAATGAACTTGTATAACATCAGGGGATGGCAGTACTAATTGGTTACAATGGGTATTAAATATAAAGCACTGATGCTGTTCTTAATTTATGATTGGTAGGCTAAAATATGTTTACATTGGTGCTGTATTGGTCAGTTGATGTTCACCTTAAGACAAATGTTCTCATAAAAGAGGTGCTGATTCCTTTAAAAGTTAGTGTAAAGCATTGCATTTTCAGGTTGTTCTGAATGTGTACCAGAAAGGGCTTTTGACTAAAATGCTTGCATGCTTTTCTCACTCCTGTTATTCATTCTGTGAATGCACATCCCTGAATCTCGGCTAGCAGCCCCTATTTTCTGTCATGTTAGAAAATAATGTTAGAGAGTTCTGCTAACTTTGGAGAGCTGTAAGGTATTGTGATACCGAAAGAACTGTTCAGCATTGAGGTTCCAGAGGTTTTTTTTTAGTGACTTGAAAATACATTTCTAATTTTAAGAGGCAGAATTGGAGTTGCCGTTAAGGACTGTGATGCTATGGGATGAAATTACAAGAGATGTATTACATGTGGGGATTATTCACTCAGCACTGAAACTGTGGCACTTTCCTTCTTGAGCTTGACTGTCTTCCTCCTTTATACCAAAGCTGGCTAGAATTCAGAGGTGGAATGGTGTTTAATGGCAAGCAGGATCAGTGTGAAACATTTTAGGAGGGCTGGGGATATCGTGGTAAAGCTGTTTGTGTTTGTGAAATTCTACAGGCTTCTACTTGAGATGAGTACAAAGACAGATCCTTGTTCTTAAACCAGGTGCCAAACAATGTCAGAGAAGCACTGTGGATACTATGAAGTATTTAAAAATGGGGCTTGAATTCTTGAATGTGAGCATATAAATAATTTGTGACCTTAGTGAATCTTTAAGATTTGCTTTCTCTCATACACCTGAAATGATTCAGGAGTCTGTAAGGCTTTGCACAAGGAAGACAGCAGTGGATCTGGGAAGCAGCCAGTGCTAGATGAATTCTGCAGACAGGTGCATATCTGCATATTTAGGTTCCCCTCCACAGGGCTCAAATATCTGTAGCTGAACAGAAATTGCCCCTAAAAGAGGATATGAAATGGATCTGGAGCCTTAGTTAAAACCCTACTTGAGTTAATAGCAAAACACAGTCATTGAAGTTTGGATCAGCCCAAAAGACTGAATTCAGTCTCCTGGTCTAACTTCCTAAAAGTCAACTTTCTAATGATTTCCTTTGGGAGCACACTGTCCCTGTACACATCTGTGTAATAAAGACACTCAGAGTACACATCTTTGTTTCCTGCATTTTCATTTAATCTTCATTTTCTATTCCAAGTTCCCCTGTTCCAGCAGGAGCCTGTTGGTTTTGCACTGAATTCTTTGTTGTTGTTGTTGTTTGTGTGAAAACATTTTGTTCTGCCTGATTAAAAGGAGGTTTGATTAAAAAAAAAAATAAACCTCCTCCTCTCCATGGAGATGTGGCTCAGTAATAGGATTTTGGAATATCTCTAGAGGGAAATACAAATCTTGCATCTTTATATACTGGAATCTTAAGGGACATTTGTTGTCCCTTAACATCAGGGAATTTACATATGGTGCATTTTTTTCTGATATGTTAATGGGTTTGGTTATTGCCACTAAACCATATTCATATGATGGAACTTTAACTTATTCTGCAGTGAAATTCATTGATTTCCCTTTTGATTTAACTTGGCAAATAGATAAAGCTGGGAAATTCTCAGGGAGCACCTTCATCTTCTGCTGGGCCACCAGCAGCCTGGGGCAGGGAGGCTGTGCTGGGATCTGAAATGTGCCAGAGCCTTGAAGGATTTGGAATCATTTGATTGCACAATGTAATGTGGGAGGAGGTTTTGTGTAAGGTCACCTGCTGGAATACTTCATTGAAATCTTGTTAAGCTCCTAGGAGTTTTGAACAATTTACATTCTTCGGTATTTTATTAGATATTAAAGGAAAATGTCTGTGTTTTACATGTCCTTTAGCCCCTGGAGTCAAATCACCCAATGTGCCTGATTTTTCAGTAGTTATGCAAGTATGAATGTGCCACTTAGCTACAAAAGAAATGAAGTTTAATCCATCTACTTCTTCTGCAGAGATTATTTTCATTTTCTACTGGAAAGCTAATCTTTAAAGAAATAGCTGTCTTTCCTCTATAAATAAGAGGAGATTAATAATTATTTACTGTCTTTATCCTTAATGATTAGCAGGATGCAGAGAGCAAAATCTCCCTAGGCCTCTGGGCGATGGCCTAACTATTTAGCAGCTTATTTGGCCTTACTGCAAACTTCAATATTCACCTTTTAGCTTTCAGATCTTATAAAAAGTTTTAGTGAAAACAGGTATGCACAATTCTTATTGACAGTGGATAAAAGAACTCCTTCAGGCTTCAAACATGGTCCAGAGCCTGCCTTGCTCTTCTTAAGGAGCAGTAATGTATTTTGTGTTTTCTGTTCTTCTTTGGAATGTGACAGAGATCTGAAAGCAATCCTGTCAAGATTAGAGAGAAGCAGAAACTGGAATTTGCTTCTTTTTTGTTTTCTGTATTTGCTTATGGTGGAGAAACAGAGCCAGAGACAGGGGAGGGTTGACAGGAGGACAAAAGAGCATCCCAGAGGACTGGGGAAATGGTCCAAAACAGTTTCACTCAGTTGCTTTACTAAGTCAGATAATCATTTCATTTCTGGGCCAACCTAGAAAATAATGATCGATGACTGGTTTTATTTTTTTTTTAATTGTCCATTTACTGCTTCCTTTTTGTAAAAAAAAAAAAACAGGGGAAAAAAACCCCAAAGCCTTTTTATTTGCAATTTAGGTTTTTTGCATTGAGGTCAGTACAGAAATAGTTCTTGATTGCATGATATGCATTTAATCTTTTTCTACCTTGGTATTAACAAATATTGTTTATTCTTGCTATATGGTGTATGTTTTGCAAATACATGGCATTACTCTGATAATAAAATGTTCTTCCTCAAAAAAAAATATTCCTGAATTGTCTTCATGACATTAAAATCAAATTTGATAGTACAGGCCAAAACACACACAGTTCTTGTGCCCAGGAGATGGAGTGGCTTTGGCTGAAGGCCTTTAAGACCATCTCCCATGGGAATATTAAAGTGTATGTCATTGTGATTAAAAGTTGAGTTGTTCAAAAGCCCCTTTTTTAGAGCCCAAGCTTGCTGTTACTTTGACCATATAAACCTGAGTGTGTTTATGGATTGTTCATGCCAAATCCCTGAAACTTTAGAGAAATCCTGATGTGATTTAGAAGAGTGAAGACTGAGACCTCAGTCAGGTGTCCTGGGGCTGTGAACAGTAAGTTTTAAAGATCTGTTACCTATTTTCACATACAGCTGTCTGACAGCAAGTGGAGCACGCTGTGCTGTAAGACTTAAGATGTCATTTTGGTACGTTGCTCTGCAGATTTCTTAATTCATTTGTTACATTCTTTTCCAGCTAACTTCGTTCACTCTTAGTGCTCTGAGAACATGGAAAGAAGTAAAACCATTCCTTGGTGTTTTGATTACATGATTACAGAGTAGGTTTCTCCTCTGAATTTGTGGAGTTTTAGTAGCACCAAGAAGCCAAAATCCCACTGATCCCTGGGAGCTGTTGCCCTGCCAGCTCTCAGCTGGTGTAAAAACAGTGTGGGAGAGGCATTTGTGGGAGAAAGGAAGCACAGTTGTGCTCTGCTGATTTTTGGCTGGACACAGATCTGTAAGGATCTATATCTAGCCAGTCTCTGTATAAGCAGCTGCCAGAGTTCTCTAGCTTGCACCATGGCTGCTATTTTTCATTTGTGTGTTCCACAGAGTAAAAAAAAGCTAAAAATGCAATATCAAAATAGATGCTAAATCTGTTAATTCTGTACCATGTATTACAGTGACTGTGGTGTTAAGTTAGGCTTCTTATGAATGAATTGGTTGAGTGGAGTGAATTTTGCATGTTTGGGTCTATATTAATTGAATAGATAATTTACATATCATTTGCTTTTCAGCTATGTCCTGGTTTTGTTTTCAGGTGCTTACTTATGAAATGTAGCAGGAATCTTACAAAACAAAGAAAAAATCCCCAAAGCAAGAATTTCCTGAATGGGAAGGATGTCAGGGGGTTTAACTCGCTTTTGTCGTGGTCGTTTCTCTGTTTCCAAAGAAGCTGAGGAAAGAAAACACATAGTTTATGAGGATTGTCATTATTCCTAATAGCTGAACTGCTCAGAAAGATTTTGTTTCTAAAAGATTTAACAGCACAATTCCCTGGGACTCATTATTAGGCAGATCAATAGAGATCAATAGAGCTACTGTAAAACAAGTGCAAGGGAATATACAAAGTTACATCTGCTGACAGGTATAGGAATAGACTAAAAATAGTTAGGAATAAAAAAGCCCTTTTCATTTGCAGCACTGGATGAAAGGCATTATTTGAGAAGTGAAAATTCATGCATTTACTGACATTTTAAATGTACTACTTCACTCTCCAAAATCTTAATTTTCACTGAGATGCTACTTCCTTTCTTAAATAATAAATGTTAACAAAAAAACCCCTGCAAGATGTTTGAGGCATTTATTTCATACCAAACATCTTTATTCAAGACAGTCCAGCACTATCTCATTACAGATTTGCTCATTAAGTCTTGCATTCTTCATATTTAAAGATACAGATATTTGATAAGCAAGTGAATAGAGTGATGATCTTGGACAGAGCTAATACAGAAATTTTGAATTGTAAAATGCTTCAAACAGAGCAAGTGATTTGAAAGTGAACTTGAACATTCTTATTTAGTGTGCTTGCAGTGTGGGAAGAGCACTGATACTTGTCTGTGGTCAGGCCTTGCATGTTGTGGACATGTCTTTTGATTTGGGG